ATACAGTATATAGTAACATTAAGTGACGTAACTGCACTGCCCGAACATGAAGGTACTGTTTAACTGTTTTTTTTGCAGTCTATCCATTTTATTAAACCGGTAATTGTGAATAATTTATTTATGACTTTTCCAAGACTTTCTAGGTTTATGTATTTTTCAAAAACTGTCCCAGGCCTGGAAATTGCTACTTTCAAAATTGCTACTCCTACATGTTCACTCACATTGATCCGGATGAAGTTGATAATCCCTAGACCTCATGTACGGATTAACCTCCGAGCCACATGGTGCAGTATGCGATGTGTAATACCGTAGTTGTACAAACTGAATGCTTATGAGCTCACCGGTCTCTCCAGCATGGAAAAAGAAAGGAAGCGTCACCCCTCTCTCTACTGGCAGTGACAAGGCCTCTCTGAAGTACCACAGGGGTCTGCCTCTGTCCTCGCGGCCCACCTGTACACGAAGACAAAAACAATAAAAATACGGAAGTCAACACTTTTACATTAGACATGCTTAAGTAATGCTTGCTTTCACAGATTCAAAACAGTTAAATGAAACTAGAAATCAAACTCATGCTCACCATGTCAAAACCAGCCATGATATCTGGGAAGTCTCTCCGCAGCTTCATGGCCTCCTCCACCACTCTGGCCATCACTGACGCATTCACTCCCCTGATGACAGCACAGCATGTGATCAATGATTACATCAACATCCTCTTAGGTCTGCTGGGGAGCCAATGAGCAGTAAGCCATTTCAGACTAATAAGTAGCATCTATTGTGAGGGTAGTCACCTGTTGATTGTGAAGATGATCCTTGCTCCGAAGAAGTCTGGGTGGTCCGCTGTGAACTGTCTGGTGACCTCCTGGTAGGTCTTCAGAGTCCAGGCTGTGTCGTGGGTGCTGCCGTCCAACTCGTATATCTGAGTCACAAACAAGACACTCACTCACCACGATGCATGAGCAGACAGGGGAATGCACTGGGCATGACTTTGGTGTACCTCTGGGAGTAAAGCTCGCAGCTCCAGGTACATGATGTTGTCCATGTAGAACTCGGTGAGACCTTGGTAGTAATAGTCTCTGAACACAGGAGCGTATGTGACCAGGCCCCACACTGCAAGGAAGGCCTGTTCAAACCTATCCCATACCACGTCCTGACTGGGGTACACCATTTCTGGATCCTGATCCGTGAAGAGCGTCATGTTGCCCGTGATGCTGTAAATATATAAAACATTGGTTGTGATCAGATTATTTTGGTTTCACTTACCACAGTCGACGAGACTTATTTCTTTGTAGAAGGACCTTGAACTACCTGGAAAACACTTCTTTGTTGGAAAACAGTCGCATCTGCAGTGGTGACCTCTAGCTGCTTTCTTGGGTTTAACCAAAACACACAACCGATAAAGTAATCAAATTAAATTTCCCTTCATAATTAATAGCCCATCTGATTACTTCATATTTGGAGACTCCTGTTTTTGATATCCCATCCTAGCATCTTGTTCCAAATAGAAAATACTTCTCATTAAGAGAGTAATTAAGTAATTAGTTTGGGACCTTTAAATACAAACTGTATCATGTTAAACTTAGCTGTAATTTAAAACTGCCATCCATACTAACAAGGACTGTCTGAACAGAGATTAATATAACAATAAAGTCTGCTTGGAGTCATGTGTTTATGGGCTTATTTCCTGTTAGACACTCTCTGTTTTCCATGAGGGTTTCAGGTAACTGGCAGTCACAGCAGAGTGTAATGATGATACATTCTGCTACAACAGAGGCGACAAAAAGTGAGAAAAGATACGCAGGCTTCAGTAGCCGTAAATGACTCCGTCAGAATGGAGTGAACAAGCCCTGTTATCTCTAACTACATACATTTGTGTTGACACAATGGTGAATTAGAGGTATATCTGAAGTCATTGTCACACTCAGTGGAAAAGTACATTTCATGGGACAATAACTTCTGAAGTTTACATGACAAACAGAAAAGAAAAGGAAAAAAAAAGTAGACTTGTAGAAGAAAATGAGCCCAATCATCGGGGTGTCGTATAGAATAAAATATTACTGTTTTCTGTGGCTCGTTTATAAATCTGTGGTATTTATTTGAACTAAATATATTCAAAGCTCGTCCAGAAAAAAACCCCCCACCTGTTGTCAAGATCCGTGGTGTTGCTCATCTTGGCCCTGAGGTTCTCCAGGAGGGTCCAGGGAGAGCAACGTGGTAGAGCTTTGGGCCATCGGGACGAGAAGATGAATCTGATGGACTGGATGTCAGTGAAGCACATGTAGCAGTGGGGACGATAGGTCACGTTCTTCACGAGCCACTCCACGTCCACCATGGACAAGTCGTGGACGTGGAGAGCTCCTCCTGAAACAGGGAATTACAAAACTATAAAGAACCCGGACTCTGATTCTGGGTTTACTGACAACTCCTAAATATTCCCTGTATGGAAAAATCCAACATTTGTGATGATGAATGCTATTATCATGTTTTGAGGCGTGCGACTGAACATACGTACCTTTAGGCATCTTCTGCAGCAGGTTGAAGATGGGACTGGTCCTGATGAGGTCCCTGGCTTTGAAGAAGTGCATGGCGGGAGGAAAGTCTGCTCTCGCCATCTCCTCCTGCTTCATCTTAAACAGGAGAGCGTCCAGCCGCTGCTCGGCGTCAGTCAGCACCATCTGCCCGCCCGTCTGCATGGAGGCCTCCAGCTGTATGAGGGCCTCTCTCTGCCGGGGGTCCGGGACGGCGAGGACACCGGTCAAGTAGTACAAGAGCAGACAGGCCACGGCCGCGTGGGGGCGCTGTAGCAGCACTGCCATGGCTCGGAGAGTTTGTGGGGCTTCTGGGAGAAAACATAACTGGGTTAGTCAGGAAAAGCTTGTTTCGACAACCTAAAACAGTTGTTCTGTAGTAAACATAAATAAATAAACCTTTAACCTCCAACATCAGCAGTAGAGTAAATACAAATGACCAGGTGTTTGTCTCTCAGCAGTCATTTCCACCATGTTTACACGCTAATACTGAGATTACCGAGTGAAAAGTGAACGTCACATCTTCTAGTGTGATACTCATGTACACAACCAGAGGATAACATACACAAATATAGTCGACTCGGTTAACTCACGCAGGTTACTGCCTTCATTAGAGACGGAGACATTTTGGCTTGTGTTGTTATTAATAGGTTGGACAAAGACAAGACACAAGACGACCGGCAATTGTTACATTACCTTACTTTAATCACTTAGTCGTGTACAGTCTCACTACTGTAAAACATTGCCATTTAACGGACAGCAAGTGCTTCAGTAGCTTAGCTGGTGCCTCGACAGCTGGCGACGATGTAAGTAAACAGTCCGGTAGAGAGACACTTTAAAAACAGAGAACCACTGACGGTGTCAGCTGGAAACACGTGTATGCTTTGGTCGAACAGCTTACTTTATTATTTCAGTGTCACAAAAGTAACAAAGCAGCAGCGCTAAAGCTAAGTTGGGGTCTTTGTCCGTCTATTCAGTGATCCCCTAGATGTGCGCTTTCCTGTGCGGGGTGCAAACCTGAAGTCCCGCCTCCACCCCGATATGATTGGCTGAAATTCAACCCGGATAATCATTTGATTGGTGGAATGTAGAGGTGTAATAATAGTTGGACATACTAGTTTATGGCTTGTTTTTTTGTTTTTCCGGGATACACTTTGCGTCACAAACGAGTTCATCAAATAATACAAACCGTAGAAATACTGAACTTTGGCAGTCATTTTGGACAAAAATGCAAACAAAACGCAAATGGTAAAAAACAATTTCTGTTGCATGACACACTACATTTATCAACAAACTAAAGACATATTTCTCTTGTTTCTATTTGAGAGATGCCTACATAGTGAACCAAAAAAAGCTAGATAAAGCATGATCTATAAGCTATTAAACAGACCAAATAGGCATAATTTCTCCATCCAGTCACAGTAAAGATACACACCTGTTACCCATCATTACTTATTGAAGTGACACTTAAGTATTCAACTCATAAAAGGAGCAGCTATTAAAATTGAGATCTTAATGGAATAAGGAGGATAAAGTCCTCCACTTTCTGTATTTTTCAACAGATTGTCAGCCTTTTTACTCCGTCTATTAACTTTCCTAATGCGGTTCTACAACCTGCTTACTAAGTATCTTAATTGCATGCCTCATTTTATTTTTTTTTTTCCTGTGCTTGAACAAAATCATATACTTGTTTGCTTTACAAGGAGCCTTTGAAGGAAGCGTGAGGAGCCATGCTGCTTCCTCTTGACGTCACAGCACATCTCCTGCAGATATGAGAAGAGTCAAACAATCTGTGTTCGTCAAGAGGATGAGCACTAATTGAAGGCGATGGCGTGAGGCGCTCCAATAGATTAATGCATCTCTTGTTTTGTCTGTTTGCATTTCATTACTTTTGGCCTTTCAGTTTCTTTAACGGATTATAGATACATGCCCCATTACTACGGCAAAGCATTATTTTATGTATATTTTTTTCATAGCACTGTTAACTTAAGTACAGCTGCACAAGTCTAAAATTTCCTGATATACCGTGAGGGACGTGACCAGTAGTGAACAGTATATTTTTTTCACTAATGATTTTTTTTTTTTATTGACAATGATTAAACTGACTCTTGTTCGAGAAAAGTGATTTATTTCTAAGAAATGTACAGTATAGAAAATACTCTGTTCCATTTCCAAAATAATCTACGTCAGTCAGATAAGAACTTGTAAACGTCACTGAAAATTAAAAAGGTACAGTTCTCTTTTTTTCAATGCCACCATGCTACTGAGGTAAAAGAAAACTGCTGAAAACAAAAAACAAGAAATATCAAGAAAAAATAGAAACATACACCACATTTATATTAAAACAAGTCCGAAAATGTACAAAAATGCGTAAAAGAGAAAATAAATATGATTCACATTTAATCACGTCTAAATGGTTTTCACTAGTGCAGAGAGATGACAGCAGAGTAAAATGAGAGATGAATGCACACTTCCGATCATCTGGTGCCGATTCTACAAACCAGAGAACCACACGCACGCACACACACAAACATATGTACAGCATCACAACCTCAGACCTTTAAAACCAACACTGTCCTTCATGCATTAGACAGCGCAAGTGAACGCACTACCTCCAAAGTGACCCTATTAGGCCCACTAAATATTGAGACAATTCCCTATTTGAACAACATAGTCTTTTGTGACACATTTAGAAAATTGTCTCACAGCTTGTTGCACTTTCCTATTCCATCTTCCTCCCTCAAATATTTACTTACAATGCCGTAGGTACCTACTACTAAGGAACATAGTAAACCCATAATGACGCCACACTCTATGCAGTCTATTACAGACCCTAGACTGGAATAACACCTACTTTGTCTAGTTCCAACAAACTTCAGTCAGAAAGGCATGCACTCTGTACAACTTGAGACCAATTTACAGACACGAGATGCTGTATTGTCCATCACACCATTTAAAAACTGATAAAGAAAATGCTGTCCCATTTCAAAGATTCACGGATTGGTTCAATTACACAACGCCTGTGAATGTCAGCCAGTCGACACAGCAACCTGTGACCTAGATGGTCCTGCATTGTCAGGCCATTTCATTCATTTCAGTAGGACTACAAACTAATAGTGGTGCTAAAAATCATCAGCTGGTCACAGACCCACATGAGTCTGGCAGAGTACAAAAAGAAGTTCAGGGACTCAGTAGATGCCAATGAGGTAGATTAATTTACTGTCATCGCTGAACTGCACAAGTGGGATTCACAGATGCAACACGGACCTAACGGTGACGGTGCAGGACCACACCTGCACGGACCACATCAGTTATGAGGGGGAAAAACAAAAAAAACAAAAAAAAAAAAAACAGGAATGTGGAATAACTCAAATTTGATCCATCTCACTTCAAATCCACTTTGATTAAAATGGGGAAGAAAAAAAAAAAGACAGGTGGTGGTGAGGTGGATCTATTTGCCAGTTTCAGTCCCATTTTCCTTCTGCTGCTGCTCCTCCAAATAATGCAGAAAAATACCCGTATAGAGAAACTGTACACCCTGAGGATCTGTTTAGTGTCGACATGGGGAAGAGGAAGCACTCAAAAGAAGACGCCATGCAAAGGGCAGAGCCGTGAATGAACAAAGAAAGTACACACGTTTAGGTGGAATGAAACAAAAGTCAATTTAAAAAAACTAAAAAAACAAGAGCGGGATTTTATGCCTTTGTTCTGTGTATGTGCATTTACCAGCTAGCAGAACATGTCACTTAAGAGATAAGGATATATTTTCATACATAGATGTGTTTGACTAAAAATAAGACTATCCAAGGCCACTCAATTCCAAGATGTCTTGACTAAAATCCACAGTGCAGAACAGAGAGTTATGTAATTTTGCGCCATCTTTGCCTGTCACTCTGTGCTAGTCAAAGACATTCTGGACAATGAAGGCAGCTTTGAAAGATGCATATATGGCGTGTTTACTAGAGAAACACCGTTAGAGTAGGGGTGGACATGGACAGCGGTTTCTGCTTAAGACAAATGATCAGTGTTTGTGTACTTTCACATGCAGCTAACCTGCTGTACACACTTTATTGTCTATACATTCACTCATACATTCACAAAGGTAATCAAGGCAATTGCAAGGGGCCTGTGAGTTGACTGGGTTTGGGTGACAGTCTCATAGAACCTTCCTTTTCTACACCTGAGTTTAAAGATAGGGTTGGAACAGAAAATATCAGTAAAAAAAAAAAACCAACAGTCCCTCTCGTCTCCATCACATCCCCTCCTCAGCTCCATCAACCACTACAGTCAAAGGACGAGATAGGCAGCAGGCTGTGTTCAGTGTCCTTTACTCCATTCATACCCCCCATTGCTCAAAGAGGAGAGGGCTGTCCAGTGTTCTGTGTTGGGCAGGTTTGGCCTGGTGGTTCTTCTGCTGGGAGGACCCTGGCTCAAACAGTCATGACGGGAGGAAACCCCCTGTGGTGAAGTGACCTTGAGCAAGTCAGTGAATCCCTGCCAGTTCATGTGGAGGAAAGAATTGTTCTCCAGGGCTCAAAAACATTTCACATTATCATGTCGGTTATACCAGCTGCCTGGTTGGATCTTAAAGCTCAGCGGTGGGCGAAACGGAGCCAAAAGGTTCTTGTCCAGTGTAAGAAAATCATTAAGAAATGTATGTGGAGCAAACCATACCCACATACTCTTCCTTCTGGATCACTGCTTTCTCCATAGTGATATGAACATGCCTGAAAGGAGAAGAACAATTAGTAAAATGTGTAACATTTGAACACAACACGAACATAGCTCGACAGCATCATGACATCATCTCTGTGCTTTGGTCCCTTTGGAATCTTACGAACGCCTTTTGGCAGCATGTTTATGGTCTTAGGGATACACACCGTAGGCACTGTAAAGGACATTTAATGAAAGATAATAAAATAGGAAATTGCCAGAAGCTGCAAGACAAAGTTTTAACATACAGTGGAATGTGCCAAACGTCATTTTTACTCACTGATATGATTCTTGTCACACTCCTTATTTACTGCTAGGGCCTCCTGGAGCAGCCATCATCTGCTGCCTGTGACCACAACAAAAAAAACATAATGTCAACATTGTTGCTGTTACTAAAAAGTTGCCACTCTTGGTTGTTTTAAAAAGGTTGTTGCAGTAAAAGTTGTTTTACTGTAAATTACCAATTAACTAATAGACAAATCACATCAACAGTACATGGGGTTGAAGAGGAAACATGTGGAAAAAAGAAATAAAAATAAAACCAATCACATGATAACTGCAGGTCACAGCGTATTAAGCGGTGGCGATGAACGAGGCAGTGCAAAACGTTTAAACTTAAAGCTAAAGCCACCGTAAAAAGAGAATTTGCTCTCTACCTTGCCGAGTTAGTTATAAAACAGACAGAAACCTTCGGTGCTGAGAAATGAAGCCAACGTGGCCGTGCAAAGCGGCCAAAACAGTGTCTCAGCTCTTTGTCGATCAGTTTTATTTGTCTTTTTAATATACACGGTCACATGTCCTGAGTCAATAGCTCAATCGAAAAATGTGCTTTCAGACATAGACCACAGATACAGAGAAATTAGCAATATAAAACTCTAAATTAATCATTTTACCCTGGGTGTAGGAAGTGTTCTGGTGGCAGGCCTCTCTGCTGAATCATCATGCCCTGGAAATTCCCCGCAGGCCGGGGGTGTCTGTACATGACCATGCGTGTCTGACCCGGCGAGTAAGGCAGCTGCTGGGGCCGCTGCAGAGCCTCCATCAGATGTGGGTGAGGTCTTTGGGCGGCATAGCGTCCTGGATCTGGGTATGGCTGGCCAGGGTAAGGAGCTCTGTTGCCATTTCCGCGAGTCTGAAACATCATGTGGGGTGGAGGAACGCCACCGTGCTGCATCCCAGGGTGCACGGCACAAGGGTCGAACATGAAGCCAGACACCATGTGTGCAGCGGAGGCAGGGTGGTGCTGTTGAGTTGGCTGGGTGCTACGGTGGCGGGCAGCAGCATTATGGCTGTCGAGGTCCAGGATTTCTTTGGGGCTCTCGGGTCGCTCTGAGCTCTCCTCGTGAGCCCGCTTCGCAGGGCTGCCGCCACTGCCGTTGCATCCGCTGGCCTGCTCCCTGCTTTCACCCTTCCTCTCTTCTGGGCCTCCAGGGTGTGGCGCTACTTCAGGCACAGGGCCAGGGGACATCAAACTGGAGCCCTCAGAGCCCAGGGGTGACACGCTGCTCTCCTTCAGCTGACCGTTGCCTCTGGCACTAGCTACAGGTAGGTAGCCATTGGGTGGCAGCGGTTGGCGAGCCTGATAATGAGGCCGATGCCACTCCTCTGGAGGATAACTTCCTCTACTGTTGGCCTGGTTATGGATCTGAGGTTGTGTGAAGTAGTGCTGTTGCTGGTACTGATGAGTTGGGTACACGTTGGGGTGCGCCTGAGGGTGCTGTTGGCCTGGTGTGTGGTAGGAGTAGGCAGTCCCTCCCTGCTGGTGGTAGGTGGGGTGCTGAGCAGGGTTGTGGAGGGGGTTAATGGCCTGGTTGTGATAAGGGTGGTGAGCAGTGGGAGGCATGGGCCTGGTCATGTTAGTCTGGCTGTAGTGTGGATGTAGGTGGTTCCCCATGGCATATGGACCCATGGCTCCATTTACCTGGCCTTGGGAGTGAGGAGGCATGGCTGGATTGTGAGCAGGTGCCGGCCCTCTGTGAGCCTGCATACCTGGGTTACTACCGACCACCTGGGTTTGATGGTGATTGGGGCTAAAGTCCTGGTGTTTATAAATACCATTTGGAGGGCCAGACTTCATCATGTGCTGTGGAGGAGCGGCATTACCGTCTGCGTCCGGTCTACTTGTGGGCTCACTAGGTCTTTGATCTCCATGGTCTGCTGGGCTAGGCTGGGAAGGTAGTAGTGGGGTGGGATGACTGGGTGGCAACGAGGTAAGAGGAACTGGCTGAGGGGGTCCGGGCTGGGCTCCTTGTGTGGCACTCTGTGGCATCCCATGCATGGGGCTGCTCTGTGTAGGACGTGGAGAGTTGTTCTGGGGCACGTGGTGAGGGGATAGAAGAGCAATATGTTGCCGTGTGCTCTGGGTCATCGGCTGGGGAGAGCTCCGTGGGTGGCATTGGGGCGGTATACTCTGGGTTGCCTGAGGTTGCGGCTGTTTTTGGATGTTCTGCTGCTCACTTTGCTGATGTGCATCCTGCATGTGTGACAAGTTGCTCCCGGACATTTGCTGAGTGGAATCCTGAGATGCTGCAACATGCAGCGGCGTTATGTTCTGGTGAAGAAGTGCGGGGCTTTGAGCTTTTTGCTGTGGACTGTTATGCGTGTGCTGAGGGTGGTTGGGGTGGGTGCTGTCAGTGGAGCTGTTGTCACTTGGGTTGAGATGGGATGAAACAGTAGTGGCACTTATGTGTTGAATGGGACAGTGGCTGGCAGATTGTCTCTGGCCATCTACCTCCTGCTTGTGGCTCTTTGTTGAACTCTGCGACCCTGGTCCGGACGGATTCTCCTCTAATCTGGCCGAGTTAGAGGCGGGGGGGCTCTGCATTCTCTCTGCTGGCCCCACGAGGTGTTCTGTGGGACTACGAATGGACGGGTGCTCTCGGTTTGTTGAAACCGGGATTTGGGGTGATGAAGCTTCATCCGAAATGTTGGCTGCCATCTTGTTCTCTGATGTTGAGTCTGTTGACAAACAGCAAAATGAAAGGAAAGTTAGCATTGAAAGTCAAATTGTGGGGAGGTTAGCATTGAACATTGATCAACTATTATTACAAGACCAGATTGTAAAGTCAATACCATTGCTGTGTATCGTGTCAAAGGATGTGAAAAAAATGATCAAATATGTTATAATCATCTATCCAAACCAATCAAATGAAAAAAACAAAAGCAGATCATTAGGAATGCACCCATACTCTTTAAAGTGAGAATGTAAACACATTTTAAGCTTGTGAAGCCTAACTGACAACATGCCATCTCTTTTGTACCCTCACAGCAACCAGGAAGAGATTTCACTAAAATAATGAATATTCAATGTGCCACTTACAGTGAAAAATAATTAAAAAGAAATTGCAAAAATCACACCGAGCAAGGACGAGGATGGGGACGTGCTGATTAATAAATTGAGCCACTACAGTCCAGTAAGAACACTTGTGTAGAAAGGTCAGACTGTGCTCGGGCTCCTTTATGCAGAATATAGACGGCTGGTGAAATACTGAGAGAGAAGGTCAGGTCTACCTTTGGGCAGCGTGTCTGTCTGTTGAGAAGGCTGGCTGTCTGGCCCATTGTCTCTAGCAGGACGCAGCAGCTGAACCTCAGGGGCAGGGGGAGGCTGCTGAGAGGGGTGAGCTGGGATGCTGCCAACTCCTGATGGGGGCCCAGGCTGCTGAAAGTTGCCCATGTGCTGATGAGGGGTACCAGCAGGGGGTCCAGAAGAGGCTGACAGCTGCTGCAGGGCCAGCATCTCTGGGCTTTGCAGCATGGAAGCCAAGCGTGTCCTGCCAGAGGAGTCTGGGTGGGCAACAGGGGGGCGTGAGGACACGGGGCCCGGGGAACTGACCGCTGCAGACATTTGATACTGGGCATTGGGAGAAGGGTGGGGGTATCCAGCGGCTTCTGGCCAAGGTTTATGCCCCACTGGAGGGGGGACTCCGCCGTAACTAAAGTTGCGCTGGTTTACCATGTTGGGATCTTGCATTCCCATCCCATTGGGTCTCTCCTGGGGATTCATACCAGTCCACATGTTCGATAGGCCCATACCGGGAGGCCTCAAGCCTGGGTAGTTGTGCTGAGGTGGTCTTTCTGGCCCTAGGAATCTATTGCCCAAGGGGTGCATGGTGTGTCCTTCTGGACGGTGGTGGGATGGATACATGCTGGCTTCAGGAGGAGGGCCAGGCTGGAGGCCCAACGGACGTGGGCCCAGAGACGGGCCATGAGTCGGACCCATGTAGGGGTGCTGCGGCTGGTGTGGAGGCTGCTGTTGGTTAGGATCTGGGCCCATTGGATACCTAGGACCCATGTGACATCCCTCAACCATGCGATGCTAGGAGAAAAAAGAAATAAGGATTTTGGTTAGTATAAGGGCGCATCAGTCGGTTTTGCCAGCATCAAGTTGACCATGCACACAGAATAAGGTGGTCCCTCAGTAAAAACTAACTTTTCGTTATAATTAAGTTTAGAAATGATTTATTGCATCTGTATACCTGCATGTTAAAGTTGTGGGGAAAGTGGTTCAAACTGGGGTCTCCATGCCTGCTAATGTGAGCTGGGTATGAGAAGCGGGGATCCATGGCCATTCTTTGGCCGTACATGTGTGGGCCATGAGGGCCAGGTGGACGAAGAAGCTGGTAAGACAATAGAGATTCACTATTTCAGTTTTTCTACTAAATTTCAGACAGAATTGGGGGGCGTAGCTTTTTAGAAATGTAGAGGAAGCAAAGTTTCCCTGTGGATACCTGTTGCCCTGGGTGGTACATGCCCCTGATGTCTCCTCGATGAATGTGCTGCTGGCTTTGAGGCAGGCTGTGGGGGTGAGGGGGGCCATTGGCCCAGTGAAGGGGCGGAGGTGGACGTGTTTGTCTGTTGTCCTCCTCCGAGAGTGAGCTGCCCTTGCCCCCTTGGGAGTTTCTCTTACGCTGGACTTGCTCAGTGGCTTTGATCAGACTTTCAGGTCCCAAATGTTTACTGCTGCCCCGGCTGCGCTTTTTGTCCTTGCGGTCCTTGTCTTCGCTGTTGATGTGGAACTCCTCATCTGTGTCGCCGTCCTCCGATGGAAAGTGTTTTAATAAGGCCCGGCTAAAACACCGTTCCAGAGACTCCGCCATGATAGTGTACTCTGGGGAAAAGGCATAAACATTAGCTATGCTCATAGGATAAAACACATTGAAGTTAATATAAACGCGGCCACACAAATGGAAGCACATACCTGTATCACATCCACTCATGCACACTGAAATAATAGCTTTGCATCTGTCACTCTCTCCCTATCACATGACCACACACACACACTCCTACAAACACCTCAGTCCATCGCTCAGTCATTCCTTCACACTCAAACACTACGGACCAATACGCATGCCATGTATCCATGGACACACACTTGCTCCTCTGTTCTCATCCCAGCGCTGGCCGACTGACCAGGTCAGAGGGCATAGGTTGACCCCTCCTCCTCCTCCTGCTCCTCCTGCTCCACCCTGGGCCCCCTTACCACGCTCCTCCCCCTGTCCCTGGGGAGAGTATTCAGTTGGATGGATGGCTCCAGACAGGGGGCTTACAGGCTGGAATGTTTCTCTGGCATTGCAGGGCTCAGATCCCCCTGAGCACTGGAGCACAGCTCAATCACTCCTCATTAATCACTGTCAAGGCTGCCCCGGCCCCGGCCCCAACACAGCACTAAGTCCGGCCCCCTTTCTTTTGCCCTCTCTCTCCCCCACCGTCACCCCAAAAATTCATATATGCACTTCTTTCTCACAACTCACACACCAACTGAATTTGATTTTGAAGCTGAGACCAACGTCTTAATGGAGGAAGCTGGACTGTAAAGCTGGTTTGCGTTTGTGCAAATGTGTTCATTTACCGCTGTCTTCTCCGTTGTACTCAATGCAGTTCTCAAACATGAGCTTCACGTCGGCAACAAACTCCTCCTTAGCAACGTACTCCCCATCATTGAGCTTCTTTTCAATGGTGGACAGGTCCATCGGTGTCTGAGGGGATTGGAAGAACAATTAAGTTCAAAAGTTTAAAGCTCTGAAGTGATACGTTATTCATGGTTTGTTGGGATGTGAACCAAACACAAACAAACAATATCTCACTAACTTGCTGCTACATGCCAGCTATCAGTGCCTTGTGTTCAGTACCTGGATGAGCTCATTGTAATTGGGGGCATAAGAATCATCCACAGGCTCCAAGAAAGGCCAAGCATCTTTATGGGCCTTCAAGACCTCAAGCACTACAGAGGAGAGATCAGATCAGACATTAGAACACATATCAATGCAGACTGAGATAAAGCAACAGCCTTGAGTGACTGCTCAGAAGCCTACCTTTGTATAGAGTAGTGTAGTCGTCATCAATCTCATAGCTGAAATGTGGAACATACGACATGTTACAAATAGTCAACTGTGAGTCATTTATGCAGAAAGTGAAATCTGGAGTCAAATGTAGAAAGCCTCTCACAATGCTTTATTCCTGCGTGTTCTGTGGACGGGAGAAGAAGGCTCCAAATTGAGGAGTTCGGGTGGCAGGTCTTTTCCTTGAGACAGTAACCAGGCCCTTTCCTCTCGCATCTTCCTCCTCTTTGCTCGCTCTGAGAGAGAAGGACGAACACAGGGGGGCAATTAGAGGCACAAACAATATAAAACACACCAGTCTCAGGAGGCGGCAGGCACATGTTAATTGCTTTTTTTTTTTCTCTCTCTCTCAGGCTCTTGAGTTACAGTTTAAATTGCACTTGCTGTCCATTGAGGCTGTCAGGAGAGTCAATGAGAACCAGGCCTTGGCCATCAGAGACAGCCGCCGCTCAGATAAGTAGAAAGAAAGCCATTCGTCATCATCTTTTCTTCGGCCTCGGTTGATCAAAAGAGCGGAGCAGAGAGAGTGCAAATGTATCGCTGCTTCATCTTTTAACACGAGAGGCCTGCTGCCCCTGCCGTGTGAATAAAAGAGATTTGAGGGAGGATTCCACATAGGCGATCGACACAGAGAGCTGGCCGGTTCCTGCGGTTCATCTATAATACATTAATGAGGCTCCTCCACTGAAGCACAATCAGCAGTTCATTAACCCTTGACGGATGACATCAGAGGGGGGAGTGATCCTGTGATTAAAGGCCCTGAACATTCCCTCTCACAGTCTCTGTGTATGATACATAAATCACAAGGCTCAGAGCGCTGCTATACTGCAGATTTTTAAACCGTTATGAGCCAAATCACAGCAACGGCGATGTGACAGTCTGTGGGTGGGGCGCCCTTCACAATCCATTCTGCCCTTGATCCACGTAAGAGTGCGAAAGCCCCCTACCTGCTGCTTACAGGTGGCTGATGAAAGAATGTGAAACTATTGATGCTCCTTTGATATTTGACTTTTGGCAGAGATTCATTTTTTGTTTTTAACCCTTCTGCATATACGAGCAGCAGACTTATACGTGTGTGAGCTTGCTGCAGATCATCAGGGATATTATTTAGATCTGAAAATCAAGGTACTTTTTGCACAAACAGAAGTTTTACAGCTTTCCATTTGTGTTACATCCATCTTACCCTCCACAGCTTTGATCTTCTCCATCTTTTCTCTCTGTTGCTCCTCCTGCTGAAGCCTTTCCTCTTCCCGTCGTTGCTCGGCCAGCAGGACCTGCCTGTCCAGCTCTTCGTCTTTCCTCTTCTCCTCCTCCTCTGCTATGGCCTTCAGATTGTCCTGAACACATATAAGCCCATTAGTCAACTCTGAACTCATGGAAAGACGGCTTGTAGTGTTGAACATGTGGCAGCTGAAAGTTGGTTATCTGTAACTATATCAGTGTTAATCATGCAACACCAGGAATGATGTCCGAAGGACAAACTAGACAAGTGGCACACTCCAAACCAAAGATAGGGCTGAACAAAAGCCTCATTGAACTTGTCCATCAAAAAACATGTACACAGATACACAGACACACACACCTCCTCCTCTTGGTTTAAGTGTTTTTCAGAGAACCGTTGTGATATGCGAACTGGGGCTGGGTCCAGTAGCTTCTGTTTCTGCTCCCGCTCCTGAAGGAAAAAGAAGAGATGAAGATCAACTCTGCTCCTTATAGCTGTTAAGAGGCACTATCCATAATACAAATGTAAACAAAAGGCTAATCCTGCACTGGAACGTCCTATCGCTCCAAAACTGATTCATTGTTTTTTAATAGGCCAAGTAGCAACAGATGAAAACTAAAGTTATTGTTTTTTCTAATAGTAAGAATTACATTTTAAAAGTATGCTCGATTTCAATCATTCCAACTTTTAATTTTATTTCTGACTTACAGACGTGGATATGCCCGTATCATTTACAGTATATGGTTCATAAATTACTGATTGAGTCTTCAAGACAGATAGCCACACACAAGCCAGGCTCTGGGGAGTTGTGGAGGAGCAGTGAGTATAGAGAGGCCAGAGGTCACTGGCTCTGCTCTCCCCTCCCCCAAGTCTCCCTCTCTATTCTGCTGCCTGCAGTCCCCTGACAGCCTATAGCTTAGTTTGCTTGACAAATACACTACGTAGTGATAGAACACCAGATGGCAAAATCCAGCTCATTTTGAGCACGGTATTTTCGATCCTGCACTATGCATCTTAAAAATACCGTCTATGATCCACATTTCAACCTGTGATCCAGATAGAGCACACAGGAGGGGAGGAACACCAGCCAGAGAGCTGTGAACAGATCTACCGTCTTTATCAGGGACCGGTCTCTGCAGCTCATGCCAGAGTTCATCAGGGAAGATGGACTGTGAATACCCGTCTTGCCCGGGGCGGCCAACAGCACTGAGAGGTGTCACACTCAGGCTCCTGGTCGTCCATAAAACAATCATGAGAGGCCTCAAGAATGCATTAGCAGCTGTGTGAAACCTGTGCATGTGTGCGAGGTGAGGAGGCAAAAGAAAGGAGACATGGGTGGCAGAGAGGAGAAAGACCGATGTTCATGATGTGATCTATAGTGCCCTCTGAAACTCTTCTGTCCCCCACTCTCTGCCTCGTCTCAGTGTGAAGCACCGACATATCCCGGGGCTCCACAATTCCTCCCTACATTACCGCCAGCACTAAGTCCCTCCTCCACCCAACACACAAGATCGAGTGCCTCTGGTGTCGACACTTAAGAGAGGTCGAGAGAATCCTGCGGCGCAGCAGAGCTGTCATTCAAGAGGCTCCATCCTGCCTCAAGGTGAGCTCCAGCCTGCTGTCAGTGCCCCATGAAATGGCTGGTGACAGCAGCCTGAGACATGTGGAGGAAAGGATTCAAGAGGCTACACACACACACACACTCTGTATTTGACATGCTTGTATGCGCGCGTGCACACACACACACACTCTATAAATATGTAATTGTAGTAAACACTCAATAACATCCACGAATAAATGATAACTATGGTTTATAGACCATTTCACAGTTGTAAACATTCCAAAAGTGTCCCAGTTTATTACCCGTTGTAGTTCATGTGAATGACAGAAGCTGACAGGAAGTAAACACGGACCCCAGCTGTTGCCTAGCAATGCCACTCCGTAGAAGATAAGTTAAAGACAAAGTAAGAATCGAGGGCAGCCTCTATACAGTAGATGAACTGTGGTGACGTACATTTAATGAATATGCAGGATCTTTTGATGTGATCTCCTGCTGTGTTACATCAGTGGAATCTATTTTCACATAAGAAGAACATCGGGGGAATGCACTCCCCTTTGAATTGAGACGGTTCTTTGAGCAAAGTCAAATTAAATCTGAGCATTTTTTCCCACACTGTGATCAAGTCTGATAGAACCCATGTTCTCTGTTCTTTTTGACATGAAACCGTCTCTTTAAGTCGAACGCGCTGTAGTGGAATTGCATGCTTTCAAAACATGTACAAGAGCAAATTAACACAAGACGTCTCCAAGATGCTCCTCTACTGACCAGCGCACACCAAGTACACCATGTAGTTGTACTAGCAGTGAAACCGCTTTCATTACAAAACCACCACAATGCTTCAATAATACTCCGCACTCAGAAAAGCTTTGGACAGAAAGGCCTTTTAAACGCCATATATTTCATGTGAGCATGAGTAGTAGAGCTGAGTGTTCAGTCGATGAAGAATAACACGACATTCATCTACTGACCGCTGGCCAAACCACCTTCTTTACACAAGCAGGTGGGATAAACACAGGGACCAACCTCAGCTTTGACTAGCTGTAGCGTCCAATTACTGAAACTAATTCCATCGCAAACTATAGAAACGAGTTTGAAGGAAAAACTGAGTGTCTAGTGTTTGCTATGAACAGCGGGAAACAATATCTCTATGATCTCCCCCTGAGGTACTTAACACACCATTTGACGACAAATGAGCATGAACATGACCCACAGGTATGGCCAAGCCCATTGAAGATTACTACAGAACTCCCCACAGTCAGGCCGAGGGCAAACTTCATTACAAAGCTCGTGTGCAGAATTAAGGGCAAGCACAGACCGGCTTTCCTTCACTACAGCTCTCCTGCAGCTGGCCCCGCTAAAGTGTCCCGGATCATGAAAGAAACTCCTTGAGGGGGACAGTGATCCTTCAGAACATGACAGGAACTGAACGGAGATCGGTAGAGATTGCTCAATCTTTCGAGCTCCATTAGTCCAGCTCCATCGGAACGGCGAAAGTCAAAAAGTCATACGGATAGGGACTAAAGTTAACATTGATTTAAGTTGATAAATGACAAACGTATTTGTTTTTTCCACCTACCATGGCCCTTATACGCTGCATACTTCCAAGTATAAGATTAAGTTGAAATGAGAGTTGTTAAGATTAAGTACTGTAATACAGACAAAAAACAAAAACATCCCTCCAGTGATTGGTTAAATTAGCAATTTTAGATGTAAACACTGGCATACCTACCATGGTTGGAATTGCTGTTCATGAGCTGGTATTCATTAATATTGCTCGAGGCAGAGGCTGACAAACTGGACCCTAATGAAGACATTATGTAAGCGCTGTAATTGGAGCTGATCACGAGTAACGAGGTCTCTTTGGTGTCTGACCTTGTGCTCAATCATGCTGCGGATCTCCGGCAGGAAGTTCTGGCTGATGACCCGGTGGAGGTGGCGGTCCTGTGGGGACGGTTTGTCCTGGATGCTCTCTACCAGACTGACCCACTGCTCCTCCGAATCACACACAAGCGACCAAGCGCCTCGCTTAAGGCCTGGTAGGAGCAGAGAAGAGAGACATTGACTTATTGATTCAAGGGGAAATGTATAGAGACATTAATATCAGTGAAACTGGTCGTGGAAAGTATAAAAAAAAGAAAAGAAATGCGTTTATATTCATGAGATCCTTTTACCTGTGCTAGGGCGGAGATCTTCCAGCTCGTTTTCTGACTTCACTTCTGTCCCTTGACTTTCCAGCTCACTGAAGGTAAAAGAAAACATTAGAGAATAATACAAACAAAATATTCCAGAGGGATTAGAAGTATTACATCTTCAGCTAGTTGTAATCTAAAGCGACCGCCCGACACTTTGTGACTATTACGCTTTTTGGACTTTAGATTAGATTACTCTTATGCACAACTGGAGACAAAGTGTATATAGCAGGGAGTTCAGGAGTTAGATTCTCCTCGTACTTCCTTAGCCTTACAGCCAAATTCAAACTGCACAGTAGCTACGATGACGGTAATTATACTGCAACATATGTGACCTCCATGATATTTTCCACGATGAGCATGTTTTCCCCACAGAGACAATTAAAATACAAGGGGTCTACACTTCTGGTGAGAATATGGTTGGTGTATAAGAGTATGTGGCCAAGAAATACTCTATTATTTAATTACATTTCAGATACAGCAGTGGGCTGAGTCAACGACTCACTGAGGGCAAAGGGGATCATAACACAAGTCTTCAAAACTCTGATTATGTATCATTTTCCTGAGTCATGATTGTTCAAACCCTCTCTATCATCTGTGGACACAGCCATGGCATCTGTTGTGACAGCTAAATGCAGATTTTCCTTTGACATAACTGCACATGTGAATGTTTATTCTCACCATAGCTGAGGTTCTTCCAGTTTTATCTTCTTTGGTGGTCTTCCCCTTTTCTTTTTCTCTGGTAATGTCAGCTCAGTGGTTTCACTGAAAAACAACATCAAGTAGAAAGGAAGTCTTTCAAGCAATAAGCAATATGAGACCTCTATAATTAACCCTTAACAGGCCTGTAAATGACGGTCAACACTTACCACATGCACTAGTTAACCAGAGAGAAAACATGACCAGTGACATAACATCTGTCCTGGTTGTACTGGACGGAGGAAGACGATACAAAATGCCCGGTGCTATATTTACCTGATCTTCTCTGCTCTCCTCTCGACTGGCTCTTCTTTGTACATGCGAGTGCCATAGAAGTACCAGTAGAGGGCTCCATTTCCATCCTGCCCCAGCGGCTCCACTCTCAGGCTGTCTGCATCCAGTCCCTGGTGGGGGGGGCACATATCACATTTCTTAAATCATGTGTAGGACTGGGATTTTAAATCATCGGTCATTAGCAGGTGATGTCATTCAAGTCCTTTGAGCCTACATGGCTGTGAATCATATACAGACACGGAGCACTTTCAGTGTCTTTCCGAGTACATTCGGAAATTGAATCTGCTGATTTATTTGGAAAGAACTTCTGTCGTGAGAAAGCTGTAGAATATATTCGAGGGTAATTATAAACTGATGGAAGGAAAACGCTCAGGTTATTATTAGATGTACTAAAGTTAATTCCAGGATATACGTCGAGGTGCTATTTCCTTTGTTAGGTGTAATATAAAGCTTCATTACTTATAAATTCAGTTAGACCGCAAGCATTCTGTTGCAAGTTGAGGGGTAAATATAAATGAGAATCTTGCAGCTCTTCTTTCGCCCTGATGCATTATACTCACACACGGTATCCATTTAAACTCATTTTACTGCTAAAAGGTCAAAACTAATTAAAGTAGTCGCAGGTCTTTAACGTACCGACCATAAAGTGTTAATGGGAGGCAATGCTTACAGGCTATGTAGGTCATATTTTAGTCACAGTAAGTGATGTAGCTTCACCCGTGTTTTCAATCCAGTACCTGAGTATAACGCATAAAACCCAATAGATAGTTTGAGCGGATCCTTGTGGAAAGTTTACCTTGAGCAGGTCAAAGACGTCAGCAGCATCCAGGCGGTAGTCGCACAGCCGGTGCAGCAGTTCCACCTGAGTGCGAGGAGGGAGATTCTCAAAGGGACCCTCTCGCAGTGGGTTGGGCTTCCCCTCCTCCAGCTCCCACCGGTAGCTGATGATGTCGTCCAGGTAACTGCTAAATGCCTGGGGGCTAAAGGGCAGGGCGAAGGAACAGATGAGAGACCGAGAGTGACAGAGGCAGGCGCGATAGGTTTCTCAACTTTAAAACAGTATGAAAACCTTTTCAACACCAGGTCAAATCTCTTCAGATACAAACACTGACATGCCAGCAGAGCAAATTCATCACAACAAAAAACACTCTACACACACTGATTTACTATTACATTGTCACAAGAACGTTTTGTTTTTCTTGGTGTGGTTGTCTCATTGTGTGTCAGCATCTACTCCACTGTTTTGTCTTTACATAATCGCACAATTCACCATTCTGGTTCAGTTCCCCCCACCTAAGACCTTCCATTGTATTGTTAGTGTGGAGAGGTGTGATGGAGTGGTGCCTTTGCTTTCTGTGAGGGTCTCAGGTTGGTGGTGCTGAGCAGGTAAAGCCAGACGAGGAGGGTTCGGTATGTCCCTTTTGTCCTACTTGTGTCTTGTGGTTAACTGTTGTTTCCCAAGTTTGTTTTGTAACTGATGATTAGTTCTATTAAGGTATGCTCATCCACTGTAAATACATTTGAAACATACATGTAAGGATATAGAAAATAAAGCGGACTTTTTGATTATAATAATACTTAGGATTCTATTAGTTGTAACCCCTAAATGATGGATTCATTTATGTTAGATTCGTGACTTGTTACAAATGTTTATTGGATCATGAGGTGATAAGGAACTTTGGTTTGTATCAATTACAAAATTAAGATGCATATGACATTTATTATAACAAATAAGGTTTTTTTTTTGTCCATTGAGATCTGTCAGTATGGACAAATGCAACCAATTCAATTGCAAAAGCTGTGTGCACATTGTTCGGCCAACACGCCATGTCTCAAAATCAACTAGTGTCCTTTTAGAATGCACAGTTTAGGAAACAAAGTTCAAACTGCCCTATTGGCTTCGAGACAGGGGCTGCACTCATTTCCTTGAATAGGTGAGTGCGGTTGTATCTCTGCTATGAGTGGAAGCTGGTAAATAAATGTTGGTTCCAGTTCAGGTCCGATTAATCTTTACCTTTCAGTTCCAACCCAGCCAAACAGAACAAGGGCTCGGGGCAGGGGTGAGCATCTATGCAACGGCACAGAGGGCCAGAAAAATGGCTTATCTTGAAAGAGCAGTGTGCACTTTTCACACAGCTGCAGCCCCCCCCCCCCCTCACTACCCCATCTCTCTCTCTCTCTCTCTCTCTCTCTCTCTCCCCCACTCTCTGTCCCTCGTTCTCCCCTACATGCCTCCCCTCCCTCCTCTCCCCCGCTCCGGCAGAGCGTTTAACACGTGCGGATGAAAAGGGCAGCTCTGTGAAAGGCTAGCGCTGAGCAGCCACCCCCGGGATGCCAGCGCCTGTCCACTCCAATAAAGCAGGTTGTCCTCCTGTTAGCGGTTGCCTGGGTGGAAGAACTGGATCATTCCTGCCTCTCTGCTTATATCGGTTCACTGGGACCACTATGAGTCTTTCTGATGATGGGCGAGGGTAGGAGGTGTGTTCGAAGGGGGAGCCCCATGAGAGATTAAAGCCATTTGTGGATTTGAATAAGAACTCACTTTCCCCCATCATTTGGGGACAGAGGAGAAAAAAAAAGTTTCAGTGGCTGAGCTGTACACTTGTATTGCCGTAGTAGTAGAGCACTCTTTCACCACAGACCGTAAGTCATCGCATGGTGAGTAAATTCTGACGCCTCAGTGAGTCATTGTGCCGGTGACTCAGACTTCCTGTGAAGGCTCTTGGGTGCTATGACTAATTTAAAGTGGATGGAAATACTGCTTTTATCCTGGCAGCTACATGTCAGAAAATAAAACCCTGTATTGATTATTATTTCCATTGTGCCTCTGATGTTTTATTTAAAAAAGTGACGCTTCCACTATTCTAGATCTGGCACGATTAAGACCTAGAGTGCAGGTGTACAACTGCTTTAAGCACATTACACATTAGGACGCAGGTGGTCTTGTACTATTCCCTCGCCCTTTATCCTACAGAACTACTAAGTACTCAAAGCTAGCATAGCATTCCTGGTACGATTCATCACTTTGCATTTTACATTGAAATTAAAATGTTCCTAATTTAGACTATTTTTCTTAAGCAAAGCTCTTATATGTGCTGCTTGTGCTTGGACATCATTTCGAACTTCAGCTTAATTTGTTTAATCAGAAAGATTTTGTAGAGAATTTCTTTATGTATTTCTTAAAGCAAGATATATCAATAATATACTTTTCTGGTATGGCAACCCAAACAAAGGTGTCATATCAATTTCATATTGGTATCTTATCACAACACTTTGAATGAGCCCTAATGGAGAGAAGACTGGACACTCGGGCTGTGAACCAAAACTCGGGCTGTGAACCAAAACTATGGTCAGATTGAATCGTGAAACGTGCGTACCTCTTTACCGCCAGACTTCAGTGTCATTTGCTACGACTATCAACCTTCAACGTTTTGTTATTATCTACACCAGTAATTCCAGTTCACTTCAACTTCTCCTTCGGCCCCGACTCAAATCCTCATCCAACTATTGTGTTAAGCTGCACTGACATTAGTTTCAACCGCCTTTGCCGATATACAAGATTCTTTGTTTTTTTCACTCTATACTTACGTGATGTCATTGCGCTGGTAGCAACCCTGCAAAAGACAAGCAATGAGGTCCCCGAGGAAGTCCGAGTCCTGCTCTGACAGGGCCTTCTCCAACTCCTGGAGAAACGCAACAAAAGAGACAGTAGGGTCAATACACACGTGAAGAATACATACTACATATATAACATATTAGTAATATGATATTACTAATTGTTGCCACAGCTCAGCTGCAACATTAAGAAACCAGAGGAGCTTCAAGGGAAAACTCTTTCAATAAGGCAAAGGCATTATGAGCAAAACACAGGGGATTTATGAGTTATCAAGCGATCGGTGGTCATCACAGGTTTTCCTAGCTATACGATGAGATAATGAATGAAGAATAAGACGTGATATTCGTGAGCCCTCGGCATATGTTTTCGACAGAGCTGGTACCAGTGTAAGGTAAGCTGGCAGAGGCAGACAGCAGGAGGGGCGGTGGGAATTTGGTCGTTGTCCGATTTGGGCTTCTTGGTTTGCCAGTGGTTGTTTGGCTGAAGCAGAGGTTCAAGTTCAGCCATGACCCCTCTCTCCTGGCATTGTGTTTCCGCCATTGAGGTTTTATGAAGCGGCAGTAACCGGCAGAGCAAACTCTAAAAGGCCTGAAAGCACCGAGGAGAGATGGGAGGCAGCAGGGGCCTAGAGCTGCAACACAGACGTGCCCCCCCCCCCCTCCTCTCCTTTGCTGACCAACCAAAACGCAGCACCCCACACAGCTTCCCAGCATGCATTGCTCTCCCAAATGATACCCCAAAAAGCTCTGGAGTAGAACAGGAGGGGATAGAGAGAGAGAGAGAGACGGAGGGAACAGGAGGCTGAGAGGGCAGAAATGCAAATGCAGAGTGCTCCGTCAGCCAAGTGTCCATTTCACTTAAAGCCCCCTTATGCATGCTGCAAACAAGCCCCTTCAGGCTGGAGCCAAACAGAACATGCCTGCCTACAGCTGACCACTCCTTACAGCCCCTAGTCCTTGCTCTCATACTCGCAACAGATCCAAACTCTCTCTCTGTGTCACTCTTCCTCGATCCTCAGGTTCAAGGGATTAAAAAAAGAAAAAAAAAAAGTCCAAAATCATCTCAAGGACAAGGAGGCACGTTGGACTCTTGTGCACTCACTCGTCTCTTCTCAGTCCGCCTCTCTCTAGAGGAACATGGCGGTCACCAAAGGTCAGCGTACACACCTCCCCGCCACGGAGAACGACGGACGCCAGGAGCCGACAAGTCAGGACGATGGCAAACAGAGGAGGAGGAAGAGGAGGGGAGGGGGGGGAGTTGAAGAAGAGGATAAGATTAATGTTGCGACTTGAGGTTAGAAGAGAGGGGGACTCAACAGCCCGCTTTTGCGTCCGACTGACGCTAAAGAAAGATACCAGGAGAGCAACTCTGATGACTGGAAATAAAAATCAGCTACGTCTCACTACTCAAAGGAAGAACGGTTCATTAGGTTTTATGAACGCATTCTAACGACCAAGTTAAAAGTCTACAAATCAACACGCTCACAGTGGCAAATGAGACAGATTCTGAAGAATATTAGTAAAAAATAATTCAAAAAGAAGCCATAAGCAGGAAGACTTGGCGAGTCAAAGCACGTGAGAGTAAGGCAAGAGCACACAAGATGGTATTAGAGGTCTAAAGGTAGCAGGACATCTCAAAAACAGCCCTCGTCTTGCCATGGTGACTGAGGTCCCGTCACATGATGTCACAGCAACTGGCTGAAAGATGTGTGCCTTCACACATTTACAGTAAAAGACCAGAAATGTAAAGAATATAGTAATATAGTTTCATCTAGCCTACATCAAGGGAGGAGCTTTGACAACAGAGACGGATTAAAAGTTTAACGGTTGCTCAAGCAAGTGCATGTGTCATGGCTTGTTCGTGCGTACGTACGCTACTCAGCAGCAGAACTATGCCATAGCCATGAACTATGATCTATAAAAGGATAGAAAGCATAGAGTACGTATCCCTGTGTGTACAAGCACATGTGCATAGGATGCAGAGAGATCCTGTGTCACGCTCCCTTCCACTTCCTGGTCCCCCTGTCAGGCAGCCTCTGGGCCAGAGTGAGCCCATCCATCAGAGACAGACTGCACTTTGATCACACTTCGCAAAAGGCCGGGGGGGCCACGGCCAGGGGGCGAGCCTGAGAGTTGAGTGCAGCAGAGTGGAGGGCTTGCTACGGCCCCTGGATTAACAACACCCTGCTCCACCTTTGAAGTGCCACACTGCATCTCCGATGGCAGAGGGAAGGGGAATTAATATAGTGTGCGTGCCTTTCTTTCGGCCATCCAGCCAATCCCTGTGAGGCTCGGCGCTAACACTGACACTCATCTCGATGACGGGCTGCGAGGGACGCGGTCCTGTGGGAACCCCCCTGTCCCCATCAGCACGTACACACGAATTGTAGCGATCAAACCAACACACTAGAAGGACACAACCTGCAACCTTTGGCAAACATGAGGTCAACAACAGACAGAAAACGCACTTTTACCGACATTCATTGTACACACACGTGTCGCAACAGAATAAACAGTACTTTGACTGCTTCGTATTAATGATCAAAGGGACTCAAAGATAAGAGCGCTGGATACGTGATAAGCTTTAAAATGGTATAAATCCTAGAGCCAAACTGCCATATTTCTCACTAAACAAATCGGGCTTATTCGTATTCACACACAGGACGGAGAGTCGAGGCTTGTCAAAAGGTGTGTCATCACCACAGCCCTTCTGTAGGCCTGGCTTGCAATCAGCAATCTGCCCTGAAGGTATTTGCTGCTCCTCTCACCCGACTCCCCTGCTGTTTCTCTCTCTCGCTGGCTTAACCTCTTATTCCTCTCTTCCACACCATTTTCCTCCCCCTGTCTTGCTGCACTGTGCCTACAAGGGCCTCTGAGACATTCTATTATTCCCCTGACAACACCCTTTCTCCTCTCTCCACCCCAGTCTTCTCCTCTCTCTCTGTACTCCTTATCTCTCGGCTCCCTCCACACATTGTCCCCCCCCCCACTCAAGCCGGAGCCGGTGGCTGGCTGCACAGTAGCGGAGGACAGAGCAGATCTCCTGTTGTGATCTGCAATGATTCCAACAAAAAATATTTTTTGGCACAGTGGGGGGGGGGGAGCAGCCTCTGGACAGAAAATCTGTGTTTGAAAAAGTGTTCAAGGTGCAGTCTCACCTATCAATGCATTAAATAGAATCAGGCAAACAGTGTGAGAAGTAACACCTGTCACCCGCGATCTGTTCTCGTGGCTCTCACATAATGCCGACATGGGCAAGCCTCGATAGAAATGTCTATTTCACTCACTGCACTTGTGATGTGTAGCTGGCGGTCCTTAAGAGTTCTTCCCATTATGTAGGTTTGCGTTATGTTTTTAATATTACAAGTCTTTATATGCTGTGGGCTAATGTTTCAGTCATGGATAGATTTGGGCCCATGTAGACGACGACAAAGTGGAGTTGTGCCGAGTCCCCTCGCATCCGGTCCACAAAGAACATACTGTTGATGCTGGTCAAAGTCAGGAAGACTCAAGGTTAAGAATGGGTTGACGCATGTCAGTCAATTGTCACTTAGGACCTTCCTCCTAACCGAACACTTGGTTGGATCTCTTTTAGGGATGGTCTGTGGTTTACCAGTGGAATGTGTAGCACATTACTGCAGACTGGAGTCTCTGCTTAAGGTCACATCCAGAGATTCCCCTGTGACTATCTCATAAGAATGGGTCCAATGCGCATTCAGAAATACTGCGTCACACGCACATCTGCTGTATAAAAGGGGTTTAATGATGCCAAGCTAAAGATGAGCCTCCACGGGGAGGAGGGGGACACAGCTCCAGGTCTCTGCTTGACACGAGAACCGGGATGGTAAATGTTACGAGACATGTGACGCAAATCATCTGAGAAAGGAGAGGAGCAGACTTTTCAAAAGAATGGAGACGTCAAGGCTACACCGAGTTCAAGGGACAACGCACCATCTGCATTTGCAGATAAAAGTGAAATGTGCTTTCCTCAGTGGACACCGATGGCTCCGTGATGTGTCCCATTCATATCGGTAGAGGGAGAGAAACTGAGATAAAAAGATGTACGAGTGTCCGGCCAACGCATGCAGCGAGAGACAGAGAGACGGAGACAGAGAGAGAGAGACGGAGACAGAGAGAGAGAGTCATGGGGTTGTGATATGCAGTGGAGCGGATATGCATCAGCAGCCCCAAGGTTGTGGCAGATCCACAGAGACCGTAGTATCGGGGGTTGGCCTCTCTGGCTCTAGCCTCACAGCAGATACTTTCCATGCCACTGCCGTTAACAGCTCCTCCGGGGTCTATATCACCAACAGTTGGAGGATGTGTGCACAGCCAGCGGGAGGGGGGAAGGGAGGCCTGTTTGTTGTGTAAAGGGCCCTCTCTCTTCCTCTCCTTTCTTTATTTCTTCCTCCCCCACTCCCCTCCCACTTTCATCTCCCACATGGTTCCTCCAGGAGCCATCATCTGACAACACCCACCAACCCCCCCCCCCACACGAAACCACCTCCTGCCACATGACAAACATGCGCACACATCAGCCATAACACTGCAGGAAGACGCCCCCTCGTATCCTCAGGATGTACCGTTCATCTGATCATCAGAGGGGAGCATCGAACATCTTTCAGCTGCTGCCAGACGCATCAAAACAAGAACTTGTTGGCTGCTTTTGCCTGGACAGTTATTCTTGATCTACAACATGTCTGTTCGAGCCACAGTGGAAGGTTGTGTACTCCACACCTGTCCTGACTAGCCTTATGACACATTCAAAACAACTAGAGCCTCCAGACGAGGACACCATTTGTTTATGAAAATATGTGGAACAGGAAGAACCGTTGAAGAACAGTTGATCTCACTGAGCTGCACTACCAGGTGGGAACGGCCACCAACACTAAATATAGCTTATACACTACACTACACTACCGTAAAGACAAAATGAAACCCTTTTTTTCCCTGTAAGGTCAGTTTCAACTTCCAACTGAGTTTTATTATAGTGCCTCGGGGCTAAAAGGGACAGGTGGCAGGGCTGTATGAAGGGGTAGTGGAGGAGAGGCTCTGTGTGTGTGTGTGT